GGAGGTTGGTACCAAAATCAGGGTCACTGAGATTCGATCCCGCCCCAGACCCCAGAATAGTGCCGTTTCATTCAATTGAGGCCACCGGTCCCCGTAGAGGTCAGAAAATAGTCCAGAGGCGACGGTGGGGATCGAACCCACGACTGCGGGTCTTACTAGCCGAGAGCCTGACTCCTTAACCATTCTCCTACCGCGTTGTGAAAAATAGAAAAGTTGGGAACTCTCCAACGTTACGACGTTACGACTTTGTTGTTACGGAATACCATTGTGTTACGCTACCTTGTCGCCTGTTTCGATCTACCTTAAACTTGATGTACTCTTACCGTCCAGACTTGGACGATCCGATGTACTACTGCGCAACTTATCTTTGATATGTTTTGATAAGTCGAGAAGTTGGGAACTCTCCAAGGTTACGACTTCATTGTTCCGGACTACCATTGTGTTGCGCTAACTTGTTACATATCTGGATTGTACTTCAGGATTTGGGAATATCAACCTCGCAAGAATAAAACTTGCATAGATTTGAAGTTTGAAAGGTTTCAAATAGTTTCAAATTATGTTTCTACTTCACAATTCGCAATTTAATGTGAGTTGCAGATGAATTAAACCATTGCATAAAAATTCTATTTCAGAATACCTCACTTGAAGATGATGCTTCATGCTTGTCCCATCGAATGAAATTTTGTGAGTTTTTGAGCTGATTTTGGTTTGTGTAAAAAAAAAGGTGGTGGAAAAGGGTCCAGAGCCCTTCGGGGGTGAAAGTCGGGCATTTCAATTATGTAGCTGGTCTGTTTGGAATGATTGGCTCGTTAGGAGAGGGTGGCCTACCGTAAAGGAGGAGTGGGGCTCTACAGATAAGAGGAGAGCAATCTTCTATCATCAGAGGACGTAGTTTAAGCTCCCCCTCACGGGCCGCTGATGGGCTCCACCTATAAAGCAGAATCCCGGCAAAGAGGCCACCGCCCAATGAGGAGACGCCTTCCTTTTACTACCTAGCTTGATTTCCTCTTTCTCTTATTAGGAGTCGGGCACACACCACCCCCTGTCATGATATCACACCACTTCCCCACCCCCGCGGTTTAAGACGAATTTATATTATTAAAATTCCGGTTCCCTTATTCCGCCGACTTATTGAAATGCAAATCCCCCGAATCACTTATTCCCTCCCTTCTAACTTCTATAATGTATGCAGTATAAAAAAAAAGTTATTGTCATTAAGCATTTTTCTCTTATGTCATCCTTTTATCTTTTTCTAGTCCTCTTCGAGTCAGGTTTCAAAAAAAGCTTTTTATTCACTGAATGATTAGCCTGAAATTGAGTTAAAATTGATCCTTCAAAAGTCTACCTCTTTCGGATAATTGATACACTTGCTACTTGCTTTATAGGCCCATTATACGTCTTAATAATGTACACCTCATATACAATTGTTGGACGGGACTGTATGACCTTCCTTCAAATATAAGTTTAGTCCGGACTTGCAACAACGTAACAATTCACTGGAATTCAGATTATAATGAGAAAAAAGGAGAGAGAGTTATTCAAGTTTTCTGGACATGGACGAATAATCGATAACTCATTTTGAATACAGGTTAGTTGTATGGGAAGTAGAATCAATCAAAATGTAATGCAACCTCCTCGCAACGCCATCCCGTGTCATATTTACACTTCAAACTGTAACAGGAACATCTTAACAACTACTTTTTTTGGACGGGACTGCAGCTTGCTTCACGTAAGTTGGGTTCAGACATGCAACTACACACCGTAACTCATCGTCATCCCGTGTCATGACACACACTGAAAAACGCTACATTGTAACAACCGATTTCAGCTTCGCATCAAAGGCATTTACTTCATAATTAAGTTGGACTTAGAAAACACCATCCAGGATCACCTTAATGCTCCGCACGGAACATAATAACGTCGCAGCGTGACATATGAGTGTATCTTCTTTTCAGTGTGATATCACAGGTTTGTTGCCTAGCTGCATCCTTTGACATCGATCCGGACCAACAATGTATATTTTTAAGGTGGGGCCCAGTCATGCAACAACGTAGAGTAACGCAATACCATTGTACGTAACAACAGAAAATTTTGTACTTGTCGGTTTTTAGTGTCGATTAAAGCCGTAGTGCATTATCCTTGCTGGACGGAATTGCATAAAAGTGCTTTAGTTTTTCGTCCAGACGTGTAAAAGGTAGCGTAACGCAAAATGTCAAAGTTTCAGCTTCTCCTCAAAGGCATGTTACACAGTGGCATAGTGCATCCTTCTAGACGTCTGGATTGGACAACTTAACATCGCGTCAATTTTAAGTTGGGCTCAGGCACGCAACTACGCTCCGTAAAGCATCAGCATCCTCTGTCATGTATACACACTACACTGAAAGTGCAACATTGTAACATCCGATTTCAACTTCACATTAAAGGCAGGTGCTTCAAAACTAAGTTGGATTTAAACAATACCATACAGAATCACCATAATGCGCCACACGGAACATCATAACGTCGCAGCGTGACATATGAGTATATCTTCTTTTCAGTTTCACACAACTGATTTATTGTCTAAATGCATTGTGCAACCTGTACATCGATCGAAACCAACAATGTTTGGTTTTAGGATCCAGTCATGCACAACGTAGCTAAAACAAAAGAAATTTTGTCGGTATTTAGCGTCAATTAAAACCGTAGTGCATCCTTCTTGTCAGGAGTGTTTTAGTTTTAACGTCCACACCTGTAAAAAGGCAGCGCAACGCAACGTCATTTCGTGTCGTATTTAGACGTTAAGCTGTAACTGCAACATCAAAATGACAAAGTTTCAGGATCTCATCAAAGGCGTGGTGCTCAATGGCACATTGCACCCTCCTAGATGTCCGGACTGTACTAGGTAACAGTGATTCAACATAAAGGTGGAGAAATGCAACACCATAGCGTAATGCAGCGCTATTCTGAAACTGCAAAGTCGTAAGAACAGAAAATTTCGTACTTGTCGGATTTTTAGGATTAAGCATTGTTTCGTATTAAGAGCATGGTCGATAGATGGCCCTTGGAGGAACTGAATCGAAGGAGAAGTATAATCCTCACGTGATTGGGAATAGCCATGCGAGGTCGACATACCTTCGAGCCAAAGCCCGCATACGCATGAATTTAGAGAAAAGTTGCTCGATGTGTTCCACTTAATTGTGTTCATTCCTTAGTAATATAGTGTGTGTAAAACATGATGGAGGAATGTTGAGGAAGGACTTAGATTAGTAACAATTTGAATCGTGTGGGGCTTCAATGGCCTTGTCTCAAACTTAATGTCGGTGGGTCATAAGAACATGGTTGCCTTAGCTCCATATATGGAGTAGTAATAATACCTATTACTCAGATATTTTTGGGTATCGTGTCCGATTTTTAAACATATTTCGTTTTGTGTCCCTTTAGTATAGATTGTGAATAAATCTATTTATTAGCGTGAATGTTTAGTGCCACAAGATCGATGCCTACTCTCTGTGTCCCACTTAAATGAAGAGTGTCATTCCTTGGCTCCATATAGAAAGCGATTAGGAAATGTTTAAGTAAGTTATTGGTTGAGAAAAAAAAGTCAGTCACGAGGGGGATTCGAACCCACGACCTTCGGCTAAATACGCCGCTGCTGTACCACTTGAGCTATCGTGACTTCGATCCACTCGGACACCAACTTCCCATCTCAACCCCACCTTTTGAATTTTGGATGTGGCAAAGCAGAGGCCTATTTATCCGAAGGTCGTGGGTTCGAATCCCGCTCGTGACACAAACTTTTTTATCTCATCCAGTACCTTACTTAACGATTAGGCATGTCCCTCGAGATGATGGGAATTATGGTTGTGCACATAAGAATTTTGAATCTCATGTTATATTGGAGGAAACAGGCTGCCAGGGTAAGTACATATTTATGAAGAATTGGCTCGCTGAATATACAGGGTGAGTCATTTTTTGACGCACCATTGGAAAATCAACGTGGGTGCGTTTAAATCTGACTCGAGGCTTATTTCCTTTGATTAATACGTTAATAAAAGAAAGTGAGTCAATTTTCGGTGCACCATAGGAAAATCAACGTTGGTGCGTCTAATTATGACTCGGCACATTTTATTTTGTTAGTCTCCTACCAAAAAATAGGCGTCACTTTTCGATGCACCATTCGTTGCAAATTAGTTTTAGAAGGTTGGAAGGAAAATAAACAAAACCAATATTATTAAAATATTAAACACAATGTAAAAATTAAACAAAACAATTCTTCACAAATTAATTTGATTAAGGTTTAAGAGTATTTTTTTCGTCCGATCATCGTTTTACGATAGACTAGGCTACTGTGTTGCAGCAAATGGAGGTCTGTTCGAACAATTATTATAACGATTTTGAACATTTTTGGTTTGCTAACAAAGGAGACTGTTACATTTATTTAATTGTTTTACTTTACCAGAAAAAAGGAGATTGTTACATTTATTTTTTTTACTTTACCAGAAAAAAATACTCTTAAACCTTAATCAAATTAATTTGTGAAGAATTTTTTTTAAATTTTTACATTGTTTGAATAATGTTGGTTTTGTTTATTTTCCTTCCAACCTACTAAAACTAATTTGTAATGAATGGTTCGTCGAAAAGTGACTCGCCTATTTTTTGGTAGGAGACTAACAAAATAAAATGTGCCGTCATAATTAGACGCACCAAGGTTAATTTTCCTATGGTGCACCGAAAATTGACTCACTTTCTTTTATTAACGTATTAATCAAAGGAAATAAGCCTCGAGTCAGATTTAAACGCACCCACGTTTATTTTCCAATGGTGCGTCAAAAAATGACTCACCCTGAATATCGTGTTGTTAGGGGTTTTTTAAATTATTTATTCTCAAAAAAGTCCCCTTAAAAGGTGCATTTTGAACTTGTGGTCTATATTACAGAAAAATTGATATAGTTTGTATTTAGAGCAAAAAAAATTTTTTTGTCATACTTAATCAAAATATATCATATGTAGAAATACTTTCTAGGTTTGTCAAGTAGTTTATTAAGCAAGTAAATTTGAAGTTAATCCAAAGGTATATGATATTGGTACTTTTTTGCAAACCAGATGTGAATGCCAGTGGCCAACAAAAGAAAGCTGGCGAGTGAAAAGAACCAAATGGACGTAGAGATATCCATCAAAGACAACGCCCCGATCGTGAGATGGGCCACGGAATGAGAGACGGTGAGCAGGGCGCGCATAACACTGCGAAGGGTCAGCGGCGACTGCGTGTAGATGAATATGTTCATCCCGACGTATTGGGTCACTTCGGCGACGGACAGCAAAAAGTACTGAGGTAATATCCAAAAAACGTGAATTTTGTACGGATCATAGAGAGTAAAGCGCATTATCATTTTTTCGTTCGCCACACCTGGACATATCACGAATGTGTAAATAGCACTGAAGTCGACGAATTTCGTTTGTGTTGTAAAAGACCTATTGTCGTAAAATATGGAAAACTCGTTGTCGCTGTTCAGTTCGACGATACGGCTTTCACCTTTGCCCGGAGGATCGATGTTCTGGTCGTCGGATCCTTCTTGTTTTATCGTGATGGAGCTTTCGCATGTAATAGAACAGACCAATACCACGACGGGGTTCCTCGTATTGTTCAGGCTTATTTCTAAAGGGGGCTCGATTTGAACGACACTGTTGTCCTGAAGTAAATAAGTAATGGATTTCTTTTCCATAACTTCGATGTTTTCCGAAATGTACATGGACCGATTGCTGAATGATGTCGACCTCAGTGCAGCTGTTGTGTGATTCTTGACCGGTATGTCAGGGACTAAGTGCATTGCCATGCTTTTAAGGGAGAAGATTTTATGCCGGAATTCGACCGATATCGTGTACGGGTGCATGTTGATCAATCTGACTTGTCCGAACCCTTCGCTCGTAGCGCCGTACGCCATGTTGTAGTCGATCGCGTACTGTAGAATGCCCGCGGCGAAGAATGCGACGCTAGTCAAGAAGTAACTCATTCCCATTTTCTGCAAGGATGTGGTGAGTAGGTTGAATTTAGCAGCCGTCGGAAAAACTTCGTGCTCGAGGATCGGTGCCATAACCACGACCATCAACGGGTTCAACACTTCGATCTGTTCCGGTTTGATCGCCCAATTTCCTATGTATCTGTTCAAATGATTCGCCTGATAGACCCATTTGCTATCCAACTGATGGTACAACATCGAGTATACGCAGTATATCACTATGACCGATATTATAGTGAATATCCTCTTAATTTCCCCGATCGTCTTGCGGTTGTATTTACCTTGGGCGTAATCCAATAGATGTTTCGCGTTAGGCTGTTTCGGCCCTTTAATGCGCTGTTTGATCGCGTAGCAGAGGCAGTTCAAACAATGAGAAACAGGGTTTCTCGTCGGCCTTATGATCCTGTACCATTTTTTCATAATCACGAACACGAACGCATAGCAAATAGCGAAGAAGTAGCAAAATCCAACGATAATTAGATAGCATTTCGAGCCGAAACAATGCACGCAGTTGACCAGCTCGATTATGCTCGTCGTGAAGAGTATTGTGCACATGTTTAAATATATATAATCGTAAACGTAATACCGTTGAAGAGCAGATTCCTGATGCGGCATTTTGAACTGCTCGGACAAAAACGGCACTTGCAAAGTCGCCCCGAAGGAACAGCAAATCTCCATGACGATCGCCGAAAGATAGAAAATCCTCTGAAGCTTCAGGGGAAAGGGGTAAGTGGACAGAACGTATATCGGCCAGACGAGGATACACTGCAGAACGTAGGATATCGATATCGGTACGAACTTGCCGAAGTACGAGTCCGCCAAGACGGCCGCTATCATGCTTCCGACCAACTTCAATCCTTCAGGGATGTGGAAGAAGAACATGCCCAAGTTTTCCGTAAACTTCAACTGTTCGGTGATAAAAAGAGGCCTGGACGCTAGAAAACTGGTGTATGATCCGACCAGGGGCCCGCTCATTATCGACAAAATAACTGCGGTCTTCGGCCACTTGAAATTTGACGTCAGTTTACTAAAAAATTGAATCTTCCTCCCATTCGAGTGCATATCGGCGGCACAGAATCTTAATTTCTAATAAAGCACGAAATAAGAAAGACACCTTTTGAAATTTGGATGAATAATAATTATCACGTGATAGAACAAAATGAGCAGTTTATACGAACAACTCCCATATGTTTATTTTTACTTTTGTTTTTGGCAATTTATGCTCGATATCTAATCTAGCCGGTTGCACATACATATGTATAAAGAATGTGATAGACTTTCACAAACACGTATAATAATAATAACTTACAATTAATTAAGGTTTTCAGTTGAGATAAAAAAGTCAATGGCACGAGCGGGATTCGAACCCACGATCTTCGGCTTGATACGCCGCTGCTCTACCACTTGAGCTATCGTGACCGCGCCAAATTGATAACACGGCATTTGAAAAATGGCAAAAAGGAGGGAAAATTCAAAAGGTGTTGTGGTTGGGATGGGAGGTTGGTGTCCGAGTGGATCGAGGTCACGATAGCTCAAGTGGTAGAGCAGCGGCGTATCAAGCCGAAGATCGTGGGTTCGAATCCCCCTCGTGCCATTGACTTATCTCAACTGAAAACCTTAATTAATTGTAATATATTAATTGGTCAAACGGACCACGAAACTAGTGACTTTAATAATAATAACAATAATTTCCCTACAATTATTAAATAGGGGAAGAACTCAAATATACTAACACCTCATTGGGCTATCCCATGTATTATTCAGAGTCCTTATAGATTTTAATAAGGTTTTATCCAAAAAGCAATTTTGGAGAAAGGTGGAAAATCATTCTGCTCAAAGTTGATTCTGAACAATTCCAGCTTTAACAATTTTGTTTAAGGCTAGCAGGAAATCCCGGGAATGTAGGCCAGGAGCAGTGTTGCCCGTGTATTGGTCCAGGCAACACTGATTTATTTGGCGCCAATCCAAACTATTACAAAACGGGATTTCCCGTTGATCTTTCGGCCAAATTTGTAATGTTCGTCTTGCTCTAAGGCAACATTGGACCATAAAATGCTCATATCTTCATTTGAGTCGAAATACACCTGACCTCGGGTTCTAGAAGTATGCAAAATTTTCGATAGCCAGAAAAGTCAGACATTTTTTTCATTTTTTTCATTAACTCGTAAAAAAATGTTTCCTATAGAAAACATTATTGAAAAAGCATTCAATTTTGCGTCAAATGTGTTCCGAAAAAACGAAATTGGGGCCAGTAATTTAGACGAAATGAAAAATCGAAAAAAAAACGCACTTTTTACCAATATCTCACTATTTGAGTTTTCGCATTGATCATCGAAAAGCCTGATATAAACAAAAATATCCATAAAATGAAAGTTGTAGAGCTTTTAATTCTATGTTTATTGATTTCCTAAACATTCAAATTTTGTCAATTCTATGTACATACACAAAATTTAAAATTTATGTTGTAAGGACTCAATTGACACCTAGTTTGCCGACGACACGGCTATCCTCTCTTCTTACTCCAACCCATCCTTTGTAAGCACCATTTGCAAAGACGATAGAGAAAAATATATATACACATGCACATATACAGGGTGTCCCAGTTCCTTCTGACGAGATTCAGGGAATCGATTCTACGCTTCGTTTGGAGCAAAAAATGCTCAGGAGAAAATTTTCGGAAAGTTCTCAATTTTTAAGATATTCGTCAATTTAGGTTTTTCAACTTTTCAACCTTACCGCTTACAACCTTAAAAACGCTTACAACTTTCAAAATATTAAGACTACAATAAATTTAATTACCATTTGGAACGCTGGAAAACCACACCATTTGAAAGAACGCTAAATTTGCTGTAAGATATTTTTATTTGCAATAATCTGAATGACTTAAAATGTTAGCCAATATCGGTTGGAACATGTCAAGATTACAAAATTTAAAATTTTGGTCATGATTGCACGTTCTATTGAGGTTACAAAAAAATACCTACAACTTGTCAAATTCCACAAAAACTTCTTCATCTAATATGATTTACGTTGATTTTTCAACTCTACTAGAACGTTATTTAAAACCCTGGATATATCAACGTAAAGCATATTAGATGAAGAAGTTTTCGTGGAATTTGACAAGTTGTAGGTATTTTTTTGTAACCTCAGTAGAACGTGCAATCATGACGAAAATATTAAATTTTGTAATTTTGACATGTTGCAACTGATATTGGCTAACATTTTATGTCATTCAGATTATTGCAAATAGAAGTATCTTACAGAAAATTTAGAGTTCTTTCAAACGATGTAATTGGATTTGTTCTAGTCTCAACATTTTGGAAGTTGTAAGCGTTTTTATGAAGTAAGGTAGTGAAAAGTTGAAAAAACTTAATTGACGAATATCTTCAAAATAGAGAACTTTCCAAAAATTTTCTCCTGGGCATATTTTGCTCCTAACAAAGAGTAGAAACGATTCCCTGAGTTTCGTCAGAAGGAATTGGGACATCCTGTATATTGGCCATTATGGGCTGAAGTCAACAGAAATCCGTGGGGTTGCAGAAGTTACAAAATCAGAGGGTCGCGATGACAACTGCGCTTCAGTCCTATATAAGGGTTGGAAGGAAGGGTTGAGCTGGACAGGTTGCGAATGGGCTGTCATGAGAGGATAGTTAGGAGTGAAATTTATTGTATTGGGAGAGGGACTGGTTTGGGACCTAAGGTATGTTTAGATCGGAGTCGATAGTATGGACATAGAATGGAGCATTAACTATTATGCGCAGGATTTTTTTTATGTTTGGAACACTTGGCTGTCCCGTACAGTCCAAGTCTGTAGGTAAAAGTTCGAGCGATTAGGATGATGACTAACTAGTCTCTTCAGCGTTTTATATCGCAGGTTATAGTAAATTCGTTTTAGTCGTGTGGATTCCACGTAAGTCATTTTTGACGATGATCCCGTATACAATTTGCTGGAGAGGGTGCCGTATAAAATAGACAGATGGGAGAGTTTTATGATTAAGTTTATAAAAGTTATATACTTAGATTTTTTATTTTTTACCTTTATTCTCTACTGTCGAAGCCAGGGTTCAACCTTATAAGATTGGAGGTTGAGGTGAGACAAAGATCGATATTTTGGAGGGGGAGAGGATTGCCGTTCATCGGCGTAAGTGAAGGTTAAAGTGTCGGAATGTAACGGAAAATCAGCTGTAAATAAGGAGTAAAGTAAGGGAGCAAATGTACTTCCCTGGGGGGCGCCGGCTAAAACGTGAAAAAGAAGAGGAACATGTGCCTAGGGTTACTTGGAAGTATCGGTTTGTTACGAAAAGTGGGAGGATAAGTATGTAAATCGAAGCATCACGAACACTCTGGATCAAGGTATGGCCTTGAAAGTAAACCCAAATTCAGTTGTAACCGCCACACTTTCGAACTAAGATCATCATCAGTGCAAAACATTCTTAAATATGTCTCCAGATTAACATATGTATTAATCATAATTAATAGCATTAATTCATTAACATTAATAACATATAAGTTTTTTTGTGCGGTGATTAGTGACCGTTAATCGATAATTATTCAGAAATCGTGAGATGCGGTCTGGTGTGATGTAGGTTTCAGAAAAACATTTTCTTATCGTGCCAACGTTTCGATCTTTATTGAGATCATCTTCAGTGCTCAAAGTGTTTGTCTTCTGTGTAATTGTGACATTCTTGCGTGTGCACTCTCAACACGACACGCAATAAAGATCGAAACGTTTGCACGATAAAGAAAATGTTTTTCTGAAACCTACATCACACCAGACCGCATCTCACGATTTCTGAATAATTAAATATAAGTTTTTTTTTACACGGGGCGACAAATTTCCTGTGTATTTTTTGACCTACTTGATTTATATATTAATAAATGTTCTTTGTCAAAGATGTCATTTTTTTTTAAATATTATTTTATGTTATAGTTTATTGCCTTCAAAATTGATCTTTTGTATTTAAACGATTCTTTAAACATTTAGTTTACCTCCAATTGTTTATCCCTGATCCTTGAGATATTTTTCTGAGTAGTGATTGGAAAGATTAAACATAGTGGGGCTGGCTGAGGAGTCACCTTGGAGTACTGCAGTTATAACCTGTGCATTTTTTGACCTTCTTGATTTATAGATTTGTATTATTAATATTAATAAATGTTCTTTGTCAAAGTTGCCATTTTTTTAAAATGTTATTTTAAGTGTTAGTTTACTGCCTTTAAATATTTACTTTACCTCCAATTGTTTATCAATTGAATCAGAAAATTTATTCGACCGAATCTTTAAGTGCGATTTCATTACAGTGTAATACAAATTACTCATTTTTGAAAACATAATCGGGATAAAATCTTAAAAACATTATTCAGTAAGTACAAGACTGGAGGAAACGCAGCGACTCACCGCTGGGATGTGTTAAACCACCCAATGAATTCACCGAACATCCTGACGTTTTTTCCCACAATAAGGCCATACTTTATCCGCAAAAAGATAACAATTTTTATAATTTCAATATGCCAAGATTGATTTCAGTAGCAGTAAACCTTCAACTTTTCTTTTGACAATAATCACTACGAAGCATGAACGAATCCGTTTGAACTGTTCTATGGGAACTTAAAGATTCGCTGACCGTTGGCTCCTCAATTCCACTTTTTATGAGACAGGAGTTGAACCCTCGCTCGAGCGTTTTATCGCTTGCTTTGTCTTGAAAGCCATTGTCTCGGGGAGAAGAGGCCGCGTCGGTCCGCATCGCATTTTATTTTATAGCTATTTTTATAATATACACGGCCTGGGAAGTGGCATTTTTTTTCAGAAACCAGATTGAAATAGTTCAAATCATCCCGTGAAAGACGGTTGGTTGGTAAGGGTGACATACGTGAGATCTGACGGTTCGTACGTCATTTTTACTATTGAACACTAATCTGGTGAATATTCATTTTAAGATTTCCAACCCCTGGGTATATTTTCCAAAATTAGTAATTTATATTACATTGCAATGAAATCGCAGTTAAAGATTCGGTATAATAAATTTTATGATTCAATGGTAAACAATTGGAGGTAAAATAAATATTTAAAGGCAATAAATTAAAACAAAATAATATTTTTAAAAAATTCCAACTTTGACGAAGGACATTTATTAATATATAAATATATAAATCAAGTGGTTCAAAAAATACAACT